CACACACACACACACACAGAGCCTCAGAGCATCCAGAATCAGAGCATCCAGAACCGGATATGAGACATCAGCTTGTAGATTTGCAGCTCTGTCTGTAAAGATACGTAATTTGAGGATGCTGGGTTGGAATTTTAAAAGTCACCTCTACACCCCCCACCTCCACCCCCACCCCACCCAGACCTCCATTCCCACCCCACCTGGTTCCCCGTCCCCCACCCCAGTAATGCAGCAGTCACTCAGACGCAAAAACACTTTGCAAATGTAGCTTTTTCGGCTTGGAAAGTGTTTTTACCTCCATATGGGCTCTGAATGACCTAGATTCCCTCTAGGACTGGTTGGATTCTTATTTTGCTATGGTTTATCAGTCTTGATGTTTTGCTAACATTTTAATCCAGGAAACCAAGTTCTGGTAAACAGATAAGATTTTCCGACCTTGAAACGGAGCGTGGTCACCCATGCTTGTAAACCTAGCGCTTGAGAGTTGGAGACAGGAGAATCACAAGTTCCAGGCCTGCCTAGACTATATATGAGCCCCTGTCTCAAAAGATTTCCCAGCCTTATTTACCCTCTCGAAATGAATTCTCTAAGATGAGATTGTTTAAAATTATAGCTTGGGGCCAGAAAAGCAGTTCTAGCGTGATTTAATTTGAGAAATACCATTGATGGAATGATGGCTTTGACCTCTTAAAACATCTTTATTTCAGTGTTTCGGTGCTCCTAAAAAAGAGTATCCATTTTCTATCTTTTTGTTGTTATTGTTTGTTTGTTTTTGTTTTTTATATTTGTTTTGTTTTGAGACTGGGTTTCTCTGTGTAATCCTGGCTGTCCTGGAACTTGCGATATGGACCAGGCTGACCTCAAACTCACAGAGATCTGCCTGCCTCTGCCTCCTGAGTGCTGGCAGTATCCATTCTCATATAGACACTGAATACCTTGTGAGCATCAGAGACAGATGCTGAATGCCTCATTAGAATACAATAATACCTGCCACTCTGGAGGCAGAGGTGAGATGATCACTTGAGCCCTCACATTCCAAACCAGCCTGGGCAGACTAATGAGACCCTGTCACAAAGAAGAGGGTGGGAGGCACACACGGACACACATACCATTAGAGCTCATGAGTACTATAGCTTATTTGGAAGCTTGTAGAAACCTTTTTCCTGGACCCCATTCCCAAAGAGTCTGATTGAGCGGATCTAGAAGGGGCTGGGCATCCTTATTTCCAAGGGCTCCTCCTTGCATGGAACATGCAGGCAGACTTATAAACCCTTATGCTGGATTTCTTTGGCGGTAATAGTGCCAGAAACTAACACAGGATAAAACTGCCAAATATCACCGTTTTCAGACAAGGAAGTAAAAATGATGAAATGGTGTTAGTTTTGGTTATTAAGTGATAGTAAAACAGGCACTCTGAGCCCTCAAGATCCTCTGAAGCTTACCAAGAAGCAGTCAGTGGTCTACAAGGAAGTAATCCTCCTGGGCCATCAAGATGACTCACCCAGCAGGTGAGGGTGCTTACCCGCAAGCCTGATGACCCATGTAGTAGAAGGAGAGAATAGACACCTTTGCCTCCCTCCCCCATGCACACAGACACACAAATGTAATTTAAAAAAAATGTTTAGAAAGAAGTAATCCCCCTCAGACAAAGTTGGTCCTTTTAGTATGATTTGCAAATGTATTAGAAGCATCTTAAGAATGTGGGAGATGGGCCATCTGGGGTTTCTTAGAGCATTCTCTCAGTACCTCGTGAGTTTGAACCTAGAAATGGCTATCACGTCTCCAGCCCACAGCATGAGAAAGAACACAGTCTAGCAAGCAGTGAAAGCTCATATTTGTGCAGTGGCTTCATGATACTTGCTGCAGTACCGTGCATGCCGCATCTCCAAAGGGTCCTTGGTAACGTTTCTGGGTTTGGAGCCTTATGCTCGTTTGTCTATAGGTAAATTCATCCAAATCATTTCTGCCAGCTAAAGTAGCCACAATATAAAAGTGTAAGTTACAAGGCTAGAGAGATGGCTCCGTAGTTACGAGCATGCGCTGCGCTTGCAGAAGACCCAGGTTTGATCGATCCCCAGCACCTACATGGTGACCCAGCTGACTATAACTCCAGCTCCAAGGGGCCCAACACCTTCTTCCAGGCCCCACAGCATCACCACACACAGACACAGACTTATGCTTAACTAAAAAGTAAATAAAATAATAATTAATCTTCAAAGAAATAAACTCTTACAGGTTCAGACACTTGGTAGGGGAGAAGAGATTCACAAATCGTGAGTTTTCTGAGTGACAAATAGGAACACACATAGTCTGTCATGATGCTAGTTTCACTAAATGATCCTGGGAGTGGGTGTTCATTTTCCGAATCCTGTTTCTGTGTAGCTGGTATGTGTGTATGCAGCCCAAAGAAACTGCTGGACTATGTCCAACTTCTCTTCCATGTCCTTTCTCTAGAGTCTAAGAAAAGCTATATGGTATTTAAAATGTGGTTCAATGTGTTGTCATGGAAACTAATAAAAGAAAAGCAGGAAAAGGTAAATGTTTAGTGAGAAACCAGGAAGGAAAACACTCTGTGGAAGGAATTGTTTTAACGAAGCAAAGAAACTTTAAAGAAGTTACGTGTAGATTCTCTGCTCAAACTACTGATGAATCAGAAATGAAGAGATGGCCATCAATCCAAAAACTATAAGAAATGTACCCCAGCGCCTAGAGATTCCAAGTAATTGTCCCCTTCTCCTTGTGTAAGTATGTGTTAGAGATTAATTCACTGAAGCAAAGGCCGCTTAACTTACCTGGTTCTTCTCCACACATTAAAAAGAGAAAAAGAAACAGATCTCTGGTCAGCAAAGGACTTCCATCCGTAGTATTTAGCATACTTTAGATTCATTTCTGTAGCTGTCTCATTTTTGCGAATAGAAGGATAGAATCAGCTGTCTGGAACAAATGGACGTTTGCTGTTGAAATCACTTGTGGTTACTATGGGTACTTCTTGCTAGTGTTGTGTTTCTGTCAAAAGATAAGACACTGTTTGGATTGTGTTTTCCTTTAGTCTAGGGGCGGAATGCCTTCTTTCAAATAGGGTGGCTCAGGAAGTGAGAGGCTGACTTGAACAAAGACATGCAGGAGGTAGGGGCCTGGGCTGCTCAAGAGCTCAGCCTAGCTGGAAGAGAGGCCCAGTAAGGACACCTGCCAAGGGCACAAGCCGGGTGGCTGGCTGTGACAGCTGTGAGGATCCATGTGGCTAGAACAGAGCAGTGGTGTCACTAGAGGCATAGGCAATTGCTGAGAGCATGGGGATTTGTGCTGAGCACATGGGGACCCAGGTTTGAGAAGAGAGGAGCAAGTGACAGGATCAGATCTTGCGTTTTAAAAGATCGCTGTGCAGTGGGGACAGACTGGGGACAGTGGGTGGAAGCGGGGAGGTCAGTTAGTAGGATCTTTGAACAAACTAGTGAAGAGGAACGGTGCCTTGGACCAGGGTGACAGCACTGGTTAGGCTTGGGATTTCTTTTTTAGAATTATTAGAAAGCCAGAGGACAGGTTGACAGGTTGGCTGTGGATGCTCAGAATAAATAAGTTGGATGAGGTCATAACATAGGGAATTAATCAACTTCAAGAAGAAAGTGCTAAGTTTTATCGAAGTATGAAAAATGCGTAAGTCAAAGGCTACCCAGACGGTCTCACAGCAACAGTTGACAGCGGTGGTGGTGATATGTTGGACCAGATTACAGCACTGGGAGAGAGGACTCAATCCAGCATGAGGATTCCTATCGGTCTGCAGGACGTAAGACAGTGTGGCATCCCCGCGGGAACAGACCAGGAGATGGGCAACAGAGTGTCGAGTATAGAGCACTCAGGAAAGATGGCTCTTTATAATGACACCTTGTATTAATTACATATCCTGGTCTCTCTGATCATAGCCTCCACCCCAGACCACACACAGTCGGTCCCAGTGTGGTTTCAAAGCTATAACAGTAAAGTGTCTAGAATATCATCAAAAAGTCGCTTTTATAACGTCAAGGTTGGGAAAGGCACCCCTAACCAGGGCCAACAGCATTCATTCTAAGGGTAAGGCTGATAATGATGAGTTGGAGTAGACTAAAATTATACATTTCTCTCTCAGCCACCAGGGCAAGTGGAGAAGAAACCAGGATGGGACAAAATGTTAGTAGTCCGTAAAGGCAAAGAGTAG